TATATATATATACACACACACACACATATGCACACACACGCACAATGTAAGCGGTGGAGGGCGCGGCTAGTGGATCCTGGTTCTTTAGGCCGGCTCCTGCTGCAGTGGGAATTCCCGGAGCCATTGGGGTGGAATACACTTACGATGGATCTATGGGGAAAGGTCGAGCTGATAGCTTTTCAAATACATCGCAGGGCTCTGCTGACCGGCACCCTCCAAACACACAAGGACACGCTCGCTACTTGCTTGAATCCCAGAGGAGGGGGGAGGGAAGAAGGGAGGGAGAGCGGAGAGGCAGAGAGGGGGTGGGGGAGAGAGCGAGCCGCGGCAGCTAGCGGTCCGTCTCGCACGCGCGGGCACCGCGCTGGTCCTGGGCTGCAGGTTTCCCAGATGATGGCATCCGAGAACTTAAACAAAGGGGGACGCCGCCGGCGCAAAGCGGCTGCGGAAAGTTACCGCGGCGGATTTCCAAGGAGCGTGGCCACGACCCGAGCCCTTGGCGATGCGAGCTCTCCCTTTCCACCCCCGCCGAGACAGAGACGGGGGCCGGCTGGTGAAGGAAAAAGGAAACTTTGAAACCACTGGGGATACATCAGCCTATAGGTATTAGCGTGAATGGTGCATCCATGCCGCGCGCTTTACAAATCTCTGGGATTGGGGTGGGGAGCGGGGAGGGCGGCAACACAACGCAGTACTAGGTGAAGTGGGTAGGTTGCTATTTTTCATGATTTTTTTCCCCTCTTCATTTTCCTTCTGATTCTAACTCCCCCCCCCCTTTCTCCCATCCCTCCCTCCCTTTTCTCTCCCCTTTCATCCCCCCCTCCCAGACTGGTAACGAACGCCCTGAGCCACGGAGAGAACGCCAACCTCTCGGCCGGACACTAAGAGTTAAGATGTGGCGGAGAGGGTGGCGGGGGAGGGGCGGAGAGGAGAAAGTGGAGAGGGGGAGGGAGGCTGGGCGGGGGTGGGGGGGGACGACAGATTTCCAGCTTCTACGACGCTCTGCCTAAATTAAAAAGCAACCAATCGGAACGGCCGGAAGGGGGGCCGCGCGTCCTGAGCCAGTCATTCTGGGCCTGCCAATCACCCAGCGGGTAGCCAATCAGCGGGGGCCCTGGTGCTCGACTTCCTTGTATTTGGGAAAGTGTGGTGGTGGGTGCGCGCTCGCGGCGGAGGGTAAACATTCGACAGTCCCTGCTCTGAGAGGGAGGGACAGAGAGCGAACTGTCAGATCCCAGCGAGAGCGGGCGGGCGAGAGAGGGAGAGAGAGAGAGAGGGAGGGAGAGGGAAAGTGAGAGAGGGAGAGAGAGCGCGAACGAGGGCGCAGAGCGAGCTCCCGCTGCAACTCCGCTCCGGCTCGGCCAGCGCCAGCGCCGTCGGTGCACTCTACGAGCCGTGCAACGTGCCCGCTGGAGTTGGTTGTGTATCAAGGATCCCCTATATGCACACACACACCTCCACCTCCACCAATGCACTCTTCTTCCTCCTCCTCCTCCAGACAACTGCTGGGAAAAAAATAAAACACCAACCCCAACCGTCAGCAACAAGGTAACAGAGCCATTCGACCTCATTTTTCTCCTGTTCAATTTTTTCCTTGTTATATTTGTTTCCTAATTTCTGCCCAAAAGGAAAGATGTCGCATCAGACTGTGACTGTTGCGAGGAGAATGAAAAAGGACTCTTGTTTCAGAGGCAACCCAGAGCTCCGGCAATAGCAACTTCAGAGAAATGCACCATCGCAAGAAGTTTTCCTAGGACAGAACAAAACTTGAAACGAAAGGACCAGAGGAGGAGAGCAGGAGCCCGCCTCTCCTCTCCGCACACGCGAGCAGCCAGCATCACCACGCCTTCAAGGACGAAAAAAGTTTTACTACTCTAAAGGAAAACCAGTGAAATGTGTTCCTGAGGAGGAGAGAAGAGAGCGGGCAAGGGAAGGAGCGGTCCGGTTGCCGGTCATCCATAATTTGGTTAAGGAAGAAAGGAACGGCTGCTTTCTTTGTTGTCTGCCGTGAAATCTTCACTTAGCAGGTGGACTGAGCCCCGCGCCGGGGCAGAGTCCGCACTCGCCCGAGGACAGCAGGAGGAGCGGGAGCCGGCGCGCCCCGCCAAAGAGCCCGGAGCGCAGGCCCGCGCCCCGCCGGGTGAGCCCCGCTGGAGCTAGCGGAACGCGCCGGGGCTGGGGGGCGGCCACGACCCCCCCTGAAGGGGGCGGCCACGGAGCGCGCCCCGAGAAGCGAGCCCCCCTCCCCAGAGCGCTGCTCCTGCTGCTGCTGCTGCTGCTGCTGCTGACCAAGGCCGGCCGGCGACCCCCGCGCCCTGCCGAGCGGCCTTGCAGCTGCAGCCGG